GCGCCCTGCCCCGCCTTGCCCTGCCCGAGTCGGGCCGGGAGGGGAGCCGGCGCCGGCCCAGCCCGCCCCTGCCTGGAGCGCCTCCAAGGCCAGTCCATCCTCTCTCATGGAGGGAGTCTGTCTCTCCATCCCTCCCTCTGTCCGTCTCCCAGGGTGGGGGCCAGGAGGGAGCAGGGCACCCCCGGGAGATACCCCCTGGCAGCGTCTCATGGCACTCACATGCTTGTCTCATCTGGCCGCAGGGGCACGAGGGGAGAGGGGCGATGTCGTGCGGACCAGGGATGTGGGGCACCCTGTCCCCACACTGACGAGAGATTCCGGACAGACGGTGCTGCGCCCGTGAAGAAGAGCTTCTTCATCCACGCGGAAAAAGGCTGGGAGAGCCCGCTGTTCGACCCGCTTGGGACTCCTCTTCTGGGACAGGAGCTGCGTTACGCGGATGAAGAGGAGATCCTGCCCAAAATGAACATGTAACAAAGCCCTGAACTGCTTCAGGAACGGTATTTCCAAAAGCGAAGCGACAGAACTGGGCGGTCATCAACACGCAGGCGACTGCAGTCCCGGTGGGGTCTGCCCTGCAGGGGAGGCAGATGCGCAGAACGAATCTGGAAGGAACTTTTAATCGCTGCGTTCTCTCCTAAGAGAGAGTTGAGCCAAGCTCAACTTGGCTTTTTGGACTCTGCTTTCTAAATCCAGGCATTCAAAGGTTAAGATGTGTTAAACCAGTATTAACCTATTAAGGGTGTCCAGAAAGATACCAGCGACTTTACCAAGTTGCTGTTTACAGTGTGATGACAGTGACAGCCGTAGGCAGACTTGAAAACCTGTCTAATTAAAGAAGTTGATATCAGAAAGCAGCAGGGTAAGAGCACATATTTATGTGTGGGTTTGTTAGGGAGTACTGGATACCATGGCAGAGACTTCAGTAGTAGATCCCTCGCCTTTACCTGTCATAAGGAAAAAGAAAAGCTTATCCATTGAGGAAAAAATTGACATAATAAGTGCAGTGGAAAGTGGCAAGAAAAAGGCAGACATTGCAGCCAAGTACGGCATAAAGAAGAATTCGCTGTCTTCAATTATGAAGAATAAAGACAAGGTTCTAGAAGCCTTTGAGTCCTTACGATTTGATCCAAAAAGGAAAAGATTAAGAACTGCTTTTTATACAGATCTGGAAGAGGCGTTAATGAAGTGGTACAGAATTGCTCAGTGCTTAAACATACCAGTAAATGGTCCAATGCTGCGTCTCAAAGCTAATGACTTTGCCCAGAAACTTGGACATAGTGATTTCAAGTGTAGTAATGGCTGGCTTGATCGTTTTAAATCAAGATATGGTTTAGTATTCAGATCTCAGCCTGTAGAAACTGGTGCTGCCACCACAGCGGATACTTCAGCTGTTTGGTACCAAAATGTGCTTCCTTATTATTTAAATGATTACCAGCCCAAAAATGTGTTTAATGTAAAGGAGACTGGGTTGTTCTATCGCATGTTGCCTAATAACACTTTTGCATTTAAAGGGGAGACCTGTACTGTTGGAAAACTAAGCAAAGAGAGAATAACGGTGGTTGTTGGTACAAATATGGATGGCACAGAGAAACTTCCTTTGCTTGTTATTGGGAAAAATAAAAATCCTCACTGCTTTAAAGATGTGAAGTCGCTGCCTGTAGATTACGAGGCAAATGATATGGCATGGATGACTTCAGAAGTATTTGAACAATGGATGCATAAACTTGATAAGAGGTTTCAAGCCCAGCAGAGGCGAGTAGTAATTTTTATTGGCTCTTTCCCAGCTCATCCAGAGGTAAAGAATCTGAAGTCTGTTGAACTGGTATTCTTTCCTTCAGACTCATCTTCCAAATTCATAGCTATGAAACAGGGAGTAATCAAAAGTCTGAAAGTCAAATACAGACATCGCCTTATCAAAAGATTTGTAGACTGCGTAGAAAGTAGTAAAGAGTTTACATTGACTTTGCTCGATGCGGTTGATATGTTGCATCTCTGTTGGAGGAATGTAACTGCAAAGACTATTGTTAAAAGTTATAAAGAAGCAGGCTTCAAGTCACAATCTGTGGAGAATGTTAACATGGAAACAGAGGTTGAAAATGATTTAGATTTGATTGCACACGCATTGGCAGCTGGAGTAGAGTTTCCTGAAGGTTTGTCTTTGGAAGAATACGCAGCTCTGGATGATGATCTGGTAACATGTGAAATGCCCACAAATAGTGAAATTATATGGGCCAAAGAAAGCACTTCAAATAAAATTTGTTTGTCTGTTTCTGATGATGATGATGAAGGTGATGGTTCACCAGGAACTGAACAGCCTTTGCCATCAAAAAATGAGGCTCTGACTGCCTTAGATACTCTAAGAAGATATCTCAGAAGTCAAGACTTGAATGATTCTCTTCATAATTCCCTAGCAGACCTAGAGAATTTTATTCAACATGTAGCATCTAAATGAGGGGGGGGGAGTGTGCTTTAACGTTTGGTAAAATAGCTACTTAACCAATTAAAAGCCAGGTAATTTGTAGCAAGTGTTGCTGCAAGATTCTCTGGTTGGTCTTAACAGAAATGCCAGATATAATTTAAAAATTTAGAGTAATCAACAAACAAGGCTGTCACCTGAGCTCTTCCAAGGATTATGGAATGAGAAAGTAAAATGGGTGAGTATTAAGATGGAGATTCTACCTTAGTAGCTGTGGTAGGCACAGGAGAAGTAAAAATGATTATTCACCTAATAAATGTAAACAGATTAAAATTATACTCTTTGTTCATGAAGGGTGCTAGCCTTTTCTTACAGGAGTAAACTGACTGAATTCTTTGGAACTGTTTACAATATGTTGGTAAAGACCTACCTGGTTGGGTTTTGGGAATTACTCCTTTTTATAAAGTACAAAAGAAAAAAAGGACAAAATAGACTTTTGAGCATTTTGTAAACAAACAAGAGATAACATTTCCTTTCCTTGTTACAGAATCATAGTCATAATTTATTTTTTGGTTGAGAAACTCTGCAGAATTAGAGGCATAGATAGGGTTTGTTTTGTTTTCTTACAAAAGCTGTCTGGGGCCTGCATATACATTCATGCACAGCCATACAACAAAGTGTGAAAAGACAAAACAAACACAAATAAAGGAACAAAAAAAGTGACTCATTATTTGATGGGTTACTTGTCATAAAAGGATAAAATGTAAGATCATGTAACTTCATTTCAGCTGCTGGGTATCTGAAATTTGGGTTGATATAGGCCCTTCTAGGTTACTCTTACATTTTTCTATGACAGAAAAATTATTGCTCGATTATGCAGTATCTGCATTAGAAATTTTGCTAAACTTTTCTAGTATTTACTATACTTGGTAATAATGAAACAAATAAAGTACTTAAATTTATAGCAGTACTTGTTAAATGTTACAAAGCAGGGACACTTTGCCTGTAGTAGGACTTTTTTGAAACAGTGCAAACTCCTAGTGTAGACACAGTCAGTACAGTTTGCTTTGGTTTGGCTTACTAGGTATGAGTTTGCATCAGTGCAGCTACACTCATGGCTAAAATCTCAGTATGGGTGAGGCCAGGTTTATGAAACTTAAAAAAATAAAATGTTTGTACATTTTTTAACATACTTAAAATAGCTCTTGGTTAATTAAAATTATCTTTTAAAAGTTTTTAAAGTTGATAACTTTAAGGGTTTGTTTTTGCTTTATTTTAGAAAATGAACACCATGTTTAACAGAAACCCTTTAATAAGCCTGGGCAATATGGAATTCATTATGGAGTTAGTATTTAAACCTTGAAATTTACTCCTTTCAAAAAAACCCTCTTGGTTATTTAATTATTCAGCTTGGAAAGTATAGTATGACCAAACTTGTTCTTTTTCCAATATAGGGTACCAAAACCACTTACAAATACAGCCCAGTAAACACTGCACTGCATCAAAGGCCCATGGCAGATGTTAAGATGATAGTGCCACTGAGGGATTTTATGTTCCATTTCAAATGTGTGTCTTGCCATGCCATATGTGCATGCCAGTGTGTACACTGTTTGGGATGGGGCATAACATTTCTCATATCCCACTTGCGCCACTGTGGAGCTGCCACCAGTCTGATCTGTGCATCAGGCAGAGGATGGCTCTATCCTGGACCCTAGAGCTGCCCTATACCCAATCTCAACACTCAGCTGAATGCCAGGATTGGGCATAAGCAGCATTGAGTCTTGGTTCTGGACTCAAAGCTGCCCCCAGCCTGATCCCAGGATTGGGATGATGGTAGCCACAGGACCAGGAGCTGGTTTAGGCCAGTGTTGACAGTAAACTGATTGTTGGCATCCGTCCCAGACAAACCTGAGTCTAGTTCAAGACCTAGGGGACTGGTGCCAATAAGCAGCTGATTGTCAGCACTAGCCCCAAGACAGGCCTAGGTCTGGATGATTGTCAGCACCAGCCCTGGGTCAGCTCAAGATGGGGATAGGCTGGGGCCAAAAGCATACACTTTGAAGGGTTGGGTTCCAGTGAGCCTCCCAGGCTCATTGAGCACATGTGCTCACAAGTGCACACATACAGGGAGCCTGCTCCCATGCACTGGAAATCCAGCACATTGGAGCCGACCTGATTAATCGAGTCTGCTGGAGCATGTAAATTGATGTGCTCTGGCAGCCTTGTGCACCATGTGTATCAGCAGTGCAGCACACCTCTGTCGTGAATCAGAGCAGCCGCCGGCAGCCGCTTGACTCACACACCAGAGTGTTTAGATTTAGAGCTCGGCAGGCGGGTAGTGATGGATGGAGTGGAATTAACCAGGCACAGACGCGTGTAGGTTACAGGAGTTTGTTTACTTACGTCGCCTAGATAGTGATGGACGACGCAGGCGAGCCTTTGTTCCGTTACAGCTTCGGTTACAGAGTTGAGTATACGCATATAACTTCGGTTACAGAGTCGAGTACACGCACGCAGTTAGGTTACGACGAGATAATGACGGACGTGGCGCCGGGAACGGACAGTCGCGCTTGCAAGACTTTCTACGTCAATATTTTACGCTGACGGGGCGATTAGGATTAGGAATTGATCAATTTCCCAATTCTCTGGTGACAAGCACAGGTGTTTCTTGTGAGATCCCCAGAGCTCTCCCCCTTGGGCGGAAACCGTTAAACTATTTATAGGCAGAGGTGTTTTACAGGAATATCCAATGGTGAACCGTTATATGGAATCTTTAATTTTTTGGCAGGTGGCAGCTCTTTGTCTCCTCAAGTTACAAGGTAGTGGGTTAGGTTTCTCTACCTGTTACGTGTGTGCTACGTGTGAGGAGCTTACGCTTATCTTTGACCAATTATATATAGTTTCCCCTAGCATTTTATTTCAGCTGACCAATTATCTACAGTACTCCGGCCGCGTTTTGTTTCAAGGAATTTTTGGCAGGGATGTCTTTTAACCCTTAATCGTCAAAATGAGGATGATTTGAATGGTATCTCTTGCTCAGTGGCATGGGCACAATTTAATTGGGTTGTGACAACCTCCGCGCTGAGAAAATGGTGGTGATGCACTTTGAACTAAAACACAAAGTGCCAACTGCTGATACACAATGCGCAGGTGCTTTTAATTAGCGCAGCTTGCTAATTAAAAGCGCCCGGCACTGTGTTGTAAACACAGGTAAAAATACCTATTATGACCTAGCAGGTTTGATACCTTGCTCTGCAACCCCCTGCAGGTCCCAACAAGCCTGCATCCTAATGCCAAGAATCATGACAAACTACTGATGGTGCTCCTGGTCTGAAAAGGTAAAAACAGGCGTTGTCATACAAAGTGTCCTACCACAGATGATCATCTTTATTGGCCAAGACACACGTTACCCTTTGTCCTGCACTGGGCAGGCACACAATGCGGGACAGTGGGTGACATGCTCTCTTTACCTGGTGATTTTTCCTCATTCCTCGTTGTCCCACACCCTCCCTCTTGCCAGGTTCCATGCTGGGTCCCACAGAGGCACAGGTCAGTGTGGGTCCTGGCACAGGCATGGAGCAACATGGGATCTGAATAATCCCTGGCACCCCGTGCCTCCACACTGACCTATGCCTCTGCATGAAACAAATCCTGCCAGGGATCACTGCAGGGCAGCACAGGATCCAGGAAATTTTTGGCACTCCATGCTTCCACGCCAGGACCTGCATCAGCTACGGCACCAGCCCACGCTTCATGCAGAGGCATGGGTCAGCATGGATCCCAGCATGAAGGTACAGAATATCAGGGATTCCCCATCTCCTGTGCCTGTACACCAGACCACGTGGCTTTTCCCTGCTTATGGAGATGTGCCCCTGAAGATCTTGGGGTATATCTTCATAAGCAGAGACCCCTGACTACCTCTGCTTACAAAAAGGCACCTTGAGATTCCCTGGTACGCCTCTTTGCGAGCAAGGAAAACTCGGCAGGTACTCCTGGGGCTTGAGGGGCTTGATCCTATGCAGGAATTTCTGGGGTGTGCAGGATTGGGCCCTTCAAGCCCCTGAAGCACCTGATCAGAGCAAAAAGGCATCCACCACAATATAATGGCACTACTTTACGCTACCTTTATCGCAGCCGCTGGTGTGACATGACAAAGAGTAGGGTCCTCTATTTGCTTGCCATTTGTGCTGCCATAAAACTTGTTATGGTGGCACAAATGCAACATCTGTTTCTATCCACAAGCAACTTCTTATCTAAAGATTCACAGATTCTATAGAAAACACAATCCCATTTTACATCCTTTTAGGCTGTTGTTAAAATGTAGAGTTGTGACTTTTATATGGAGGTGCTCCATGTTATGTAGTAAATATTAGAGATTCATCTTCCAGAAAACATTACTATTTATAATTCCTGACCCTATTTCACAGTTATCAGTGCTGCCATTTCTAACAACCGGCAAGTCACAGAACTTGCCAGTCAGACTGAATGTTTCTGAAGACTAAAAAAAAAAATCTTGCATATAAAAAAACTGCTGTTACGAGAAACATGCAATCTTAAGAAACGCAAACATTTTGGTTAGATTTCTTCACCTTGTTAATTCAAAATTTGAGATTCTAGAACAAGTTCAGCTATTACTGTTTCAGGTGTCTATAACAAGGTCAGTTTTAAAGAAGAACAAACTTCAGGTCCTAATAAGTAACGGTGAAAAAAGGATTTTTTTTCAACCTGTAAATATTTTAACTTTAGTGTACATACACTATTTCATTTAATTTTAAGGTGCTTAAAGCAAATCTTCAAAGCATGTAAGTGCAAGCAAGTATTGGAAGGCTGGGAACTGTCACTTCAAGCTGAATTTCATTTGAAATTAATAATTATTGTACAAAAGGCCAAATATTGTACAAAAGGTCAATTTGCTAGGCCAAATATCTTCTCTGTTCCTTCATCTATTATTTTAGAAATTTGTCTGCTTTTTCCTCCACAATTCTCTTTTATTTTGCCAAGAGATTATAATTTTGTACCATGGAGTAGGGGTGCGCGAAGTGTGCTGTATTCGATTCGGATTCAGCCCGAATTGGGGACAGTAATTCGATTTGTTGATTGAGTTTGTTCTAAGCCTGGGCTATGTACAGTTTTGTTTAGAGGACTAATTTTTGTATATAGTTACATCCAGTACAACTCCTGGTCTGTCTGCTAGTTATACCAAGGGAATTTATTACTCCCAAAAGTAGGAGAAACACAGTTTGTACCAATATAGTGGCAACTACACTGGGGTGGGAGGGGTATGCCACTTTATACAAGGAATTATACCAGTGTAGTTAAGGCCATACAACTTTTTGTTTAAACAATG